ACATATATTCACATAATTTGCACGCAATTCGTGTTGAGTAAAGTTATTGAATTATCCTACTTAAAAAATAACACTTATCTCAACTCACTATAAATAATGGTTATTTTAGAAAATAAGTTGTTCGAGAGCTTATAATTTTTTTTTATTTTTTTAATAACCTATACTCCACATTTTTATTTAATATTTTAGAAATAATAAAAATAACTTATAAGCTAGCTTCTTGTCCAAACACTATAAATGATGTCTTCAAAGATATTATCATCAAAATTTGGACCTTTTTGTTCTTTATCGGCATGTGCGTACAATTGAAGAATTGCGAGATATAAAAATGTCCAAATTAATTAAATAAATAATAAATAAATGCTTATGGAAGAATTATTTTAAATTGGCATTTCTTCTATATACGGTGTTAAGTTATTCACTATGATAATGACTGATATTTGATAGTATTACGCATATTAAATATTGAAATTGTATGTGATAATAGAGAACAACAAAACTAAAACAAGAATCTGTTATAAGACTATTTATTGAAAAAAATAGTACATCAAACAATAAAAAATAATGAATAAATAATAATAAAAAAAATGAAAACAATATATGAATTAAATTTCATCGATTCTGATCCGAAAATTGGAATTATTCGAGTCATGCACTCCGCCAAAAACCAAGTGAACTTGTTTTATGAGTGATGCAATGCATATCGTATCAATTGCACATTGCGTGCAAATTACGTGATTTTACGTGCATATTATGTAAATATTAAATTTACCAATCTTATGTGATTAATCGTAATTACATGATTACAAGATGAAGATATTAATTATTTGTGAGTAGGTGATAAATTATTACATAAGTATCTTTTTTCTGCAAATTTGAATACAATTTACAATTATATATGTAAGAAAAAATCAATTTATATGCATTAATGGTTTTATAAATTGACTCAAAGCATTTGATTCCTTGTCACTTATCAATTTTCCCTAATTAAACCCCCACTGATTAAAATGTTAATATCTGATTGACAGTGACATATACAGTGAATATCTTACATTCTTAATTATAATTAGGCAATAAATTAAATTAAGAATATGTAGTACTTGAAGACTCCAGGAAAGGAAAAAAAAAAAACTGTAGTACTAGTGCTTGTTCATATAGCCACCACCTGGTGGTGGCTGCTCAACACATGAAGGTCATGCACTCGGCCTTTGGCGAAGTGCAAGACTGAAGACTAGTGTTAAACAAGCAACGGAAGAAGAAATTCCTTCCGCCACCACCACTACCACAATGAAGAAGGCTGAATTAGATCGTATAGCCAAGCTATACGGTCAACCAGGGGCGGAGGAAACCTCCGTCTGCCAGTACGGAGGGTACGTTGCCGTTGATCAGAACAAGGAAACGTCGATGTTCTACTACTTCGCGGAAGCAGCCAATCATCCTGCCACAAAACCTCTCGTTTTGTGGCTCAATGGAGGTACTTCCCCCGGTTTTTTTTGTTTCTTTATTTGATTTTGTCTTATGATTTAACTTGCGTTTTATTTTCTTAACACAATAGGCCCCGGATGTTCGTCATTGCTAGGTGTCTTCGTCGAGAACGGCCCTTTCGGTATCAATCCCGACGGTAAAACCCTATACCTTCTTTTTAATTTGCTTTTTAATTAATTAATTTGTTCTTGTTTAACAACTTTCTTTGCTTCTTGCAGTGGATTAGTTCGCCGCAACTGGGACTCCAAGGGCAGTCCTTCCTCGATGTTCCTTATCTACGATAGACTTATGGCGGCGGGCGGGGCTCAAGATTATGTTGTACAGAGATTAATCTCTAGATTGATTATTATTATTATTGTTTTTTCTAATTATATAAGGAATGATAACATTTAAATTATTCAACATTTGTCATTCAGCGGAGACGTCGCTGGGGTTGTTTTAGTTACGGGTACGAGATACGGCATCGCAGCTATGAATCTCAAAGTCGAAAAAAGTGGGCTCCGTGGTATTCCGATTTAGAGTCCCCATGTGAGTTTTTTCTTTTGGTTCTTGATTCAATAATTTAATCGAATAAAAAGACAAACTTTTACCTTAATTGTGTGTGTGTAGCCGGGAGGTTTCGTGGTTGAATACAAGGGTCTCAGTTTCGTAACAGTTCGTGGTGCGGGGCACATGGTCCCTCAGATTCAGCCGTGCAGAGCTTTCGCTCTGTTTAAGAACTTTCTAAACGGTGTGGTGACCTTGTTCACAACTGATCATATAAGGTAACATTTGCAATTATATTGATTTACATTCCTCTATCAAATACTTGTGCCAAGAGATAGGGGCCCTGGAGGCGAGGGATTTCGCCTTTATGGCACAATATCATAATCATATCTATAATAATATATTTAATAATTCATATTTTATAATTACTTAATATTTTATGTCACATAAGTATACTAAATATTTCATTTATGTTTCTAGATACATAATATCAACAAATTAATAAAAAAAACTATCACATTTCTTTTTATTTTGATTGTCACTCATTCTTGAAAATGTCCTCTTCGATATCACAATATATATTTTAGAAAAATATATATGAACTTGCACATGTAATCACATAATTTGCACGCAATTTGTGTTGAATAAAGTTATTGAATTATACTACTTAAAAAATAACACTTATCTCAATTCACTATAAATAACGGTTATTTTCGAAAATAAGTTATTGGAGAGCTTATAATTTTTTTATTTTTTTTAATAAACTATACTCCACCTTTTTATTTAATATTTTAGAAACAATAAAAATAACTTATAAGCTAGCTTCTTGTCCAAACACTACAAATGATGTCTTCAAGGATATTATCATCAAAATTTGGACGTTTTTGTTCTTTATCGGCACGTGCGTACAATTGACGAATTACGAGAAATAAAAATGTCCAAATTAACTAAATAAATAATAAATAAATGCTTATGGAAGAATTAATTTCAAATTGGCATTTCTTCTATATACGGTGTTTCTGGATTAAGTTATTCACTATGATAATGATTGATATTTGATAGTATTACGCATATTAAATTTTGAAATTGTACGTGGTAATAGAGAATAACAAAAATAAAACCTAAATTTGTTATAAGATTATTTATTAAAAAAAAAAAAGAGGAAATTAAAAAATAAAAATTAATGAATAAATAATTATAAGAAAATAAAAATAATATATGAATTAAATTTCGTCGATTCTGATCCGAAAATTGGAATTATTCCAGTCATGCACTCCGCCAAAAACCGAGTGCACTTGTTTTATGAGTGATGCAATGCATATCGTATCAATTAGTTATAGTTACATTTCAATAACTTTATGCAACAAAAATCACATGCAAATCAATTGCACATCGCGTGCAAATTACGTGATTTTACGTGCATATTATATAAATATTAAATTTACCAATTCTTATGTGTTTAATCGCAATTACAGATTACAATTTACACATGCAAATTTGTGACGATAAACATCAAAAAAATTAGTTGATTGTCACTCATTCATTCTTGAAAATATCCTCTTCGATATCAGAATATATATTTTAGAAAAATAAGTATGAATTTGCACATGTAATCACATAACTTGCACACAATGTGCACATGATTTTTGTTGAGTAAAGTTGTTGAATCATCCTACTTAAAAAATGACACTTATCTAATTCACTATAAATAATGGTTATTTTAGAAAATAAGTTGTTCTAGAGCTTATAAGTTATTTAATATTTTAAAAATAATAAAAATAACTTATAAGCTAGCTTCTTATCCAAACACTACAAATGATGTCTTATAAAATATTATCATGAAAAATTGGACATTTTTGCTCTTAATAGGGACGTGCACAATTGACGAATTACAAGAAATAAAAATATAATATTCAAATTAATTAAGTTAAATAATAAATAAATGCTTATGAAAGAATAATTTTCAATCGGCATTTCTTCTATATTACGGTGTTTCTGGATTAAGTTATTCACTATGATGATAATTGATATTTGATACTATATAGTATGACAATATTACTATGACAATAGAGAACAACAAAAATAAAACCTAAAATCGTTATCAGATTATTTGTAAAAAAAAAAAAGTAAATTAAACAATAAAAAGTAGTGAATAAACAATAATAAAAAATGGAAATTATATATGAAAATGTAATTGTTTGGCACATCAATTGTCTTGGATAGACTTGTTCGTGAATTTATGGAAAAATGTAATCGAAAAAAATTATAGTGCATTGTGAATAATTTATTGTATTTTAGAGGTGTAAAATGCTATTAACTATTCTCAAGGGTGTAAAATGTCAAACTACTATATCTCAAGGGTGCAAATTGAAATTAAGCCCACAAATAATTGATGTAGGTACACCTAATTCTTGACCTGCTATGTATCCGGCTGATTTTTCGCAGTGGCCCGGCAACAAATTGTGCTTAGCAAAATATTGTTCTCAATATTATCATTTTCGAACTGAACTGTAACATGATATAATCATTAGAAGTTGGCCTTATTGATAATTAATAATGTAAGCTAACATTTTTAATAATTTATTCAGCATGCAATTATTTAATTAAAATTAAAAAAATCCTCTGTTGAATTGAATTTATATATAATTGATATGGATTTAAAATTCATAATTAATTCGATACGTACGAAAAGTAGCCTAGTCAATCGAAACCACATCGATCGTCATGAATCACGAGAAGGAAGAAAATTCGACGCTGCGTTCGAGTACAAATAACTATAATACCGTAAATTACACACACCCACACACACACAAAAAACACTTGGTCCAAATTGAATATCAAAAAATGAAGTATAAGATTTTATCCCCAACTAATTAACTACAAATAAGGTAAAACCAAACCGAGTTATCCACTTAATAATCGCCCAATAATAAACTTGGACCATATGTTCTAGCAAAAACAGGTCAGTCAAATAACTAATATAGTAAATTGTTAATTTAATTATATTATTAGTTATTTTAATATTCCATTTTTGGGTAGCTATATATATGCATGCATACCCCCAACAATTGAACACACAAATAATTCATATCAATAACCTTTTTACAAACCACAATCCCAGCACCACCCACCATCATGGCGGGATCTAAAGCCAAAACTAACAAATATGCTTTGGCTTGTTCTATCTTGGCTTCCATGACATCTATCTTGCTTGGATATGGTACATATATCTATATCTGTATCTATATCTATATATATATATATATGAATATTTAATTGTTGATGATATATTTATTATATAAATGTGCAGATATAGGAGTGATGAGTGGTGCTATAATATACATCCAGAAGGATCTGAAAATCACAGACGTGCAAACGGAGGTGGTAATGGGAATCCTCAATCTCTATTCTCTCATTGGCTCGGCCGCCGCCGGCCGCACCTCCGACTGGATCGGCCGTCGCTACACCATTGTGTTTGCCGGAGTTATATTCTTCGCTGGAGCTCTGCTTATGGGGTTTGCCACCAACTACGCTTTCCTCATGGCGGGCCGGTTCGTCGCCGGAGTTGGCGTCGGTTTCGCTATGATGATTGCTCCCGTTTACGCGGCCGAGGTTTCGCCGCCTGCTTCTCGCGGGCTCTTCACTTCTTTGCCGGAGGTCTTCATCAATATCGGTCGGTTCTTTTTTTTTCTTTCTTTCTTTACATCTATGTATTGGATAAATATTAATATTAAATGATATACTGGTTAAGATGGTCATTTAGAATGATTTCAGAATCATAGTCACGTTAAATGAAAGGTCGAATACGATTAATTTTACACTTTATGTTTTCGTCCGATTGTCAGGCATATTACTCGGCTACGTATCCAACGTGGCCTTCTCGGGGCTCCCACTAGACATCGGATGGAGACTCATGCTCGGAATCGGGGCGGTCCCCTCCGTCATCATCGCCCTAGGCGTCCTCTTCATGCCCGAGTCACCCCGGTGGCTTGTCATGCAGGGGCGCCTCGGTGATGCCAAAAAGGTCCTCGGCAAAATATCCAACTCCCCCGAGGAGGCCAGCATCCGCCTCATCGAGATAAAGGAAGCCGCGGGAATCCCCGAGAGCAGCCACGACGACGTGGTCCCCGTCCCCAAGCGCAACCATGGGGAGGGCGTGTGGCGAGAGCTACTCATCAGCCCCACCCCGGCGGTGCGCCACATCCTACTCTGCGCCATCGGTATCCACTTCTTCCAGCAAGCGAGCGGTATCGACTCCGTCGTACTCTACAGCCCGGTGATCTTCGAGAAGGCCGGCATCAAGAGCGACTCCGATAAGTTACTAGCGACCGTGGCCGTCGGATTCACAAAGACGGTTTTCATCCTCGTCGCCACGTTTTTGCTCGACAGGGTAGGCCGGAGGCCGATGGTCCTGTCGAGTATGGGCGGGATGATCGTATCTATAATGTGCCTAGCTACCGGGCTCACGGTTATCGACCAAGCCGACCACAAAATCATGTGGGCCATAGCTTTGTGTACGGCGTCGATTATGTTCTACGTGGCGTTTTTCTCGATCGGGATGGGGCCGATTGCTTGGGTGTACAGTTCGGAGACATTCCCGTTGAGGCTTCGGGCGCAAGGGTGCAGCATGGGGGTGGCGTTAAACCGGTGCATTAGTGCATTGATATCAATGACGTTTATAACCCTGTACAAGGGTATAACTATCGGGGGCGCGTTCTATTTATACGGTGCGATCTCCATCGTGGCGTGGCTGTTCTTCTTCACTCTACTCCCCGAAACTCAAGGGAAGACGCTCGAGGAAATGGAGTCGTTGTTCGGAACTTTCTTCAGGTGGAGAACGACGCTAAGGGAATTGAACGAGAGAAAGAGGGAAAAGAATATGATCGAAATGTCGTCGTGATGAACGGTGAGAGTTCGGGTTGCGGTGATGTGTATGTGGTTGTGTATATGTAAATAAATTGCTTATTGAGATGCAGTTTGTGGTTGTGGATATGTAAATAATGTGTATTGAGAATGGTTTCCCGGTTGGGTGTTTCGGGGGTACGGTAGGAAAAGTAGATGCTACACCTGAAATGGAATGGTTTGGAACCGTAGATCAGATCGACAAATAATCACAGCACACCTCATGTGTATGTGTTCTTAGCGCGTCGTTATTTAATAAAATCTACGGTTCGAATCTACGGGGTGCAAAATAATCAGGTGTAGCATCGAATTCCTCTGGTACTTGCTGTAATAATGTAATAAATCTGCCATTATTAATACATAATAAATTAGTTTTCTATTTTGACTCTTCTTATGGCCTTTTTTTTTCCTTTTTTTTTTTTTTTTTTAGTTTTTAATTGGTAATTAATCTCCTAGTACTATTCATTCTTTCACATGAAACCACTAAATAATCTTTAGTTGTGAAATTGATTTTGGTCATATTGTTCTACTATAAAAGGGGTAGTGTTTATGGGAACGATTAGAAAATGAATTATTTTATGCACTTCGTTTATGTTTTAATTAGATTAGACTATGCTAATTTATTTATATTTTCTCAATGTCTAAAATTTAATTTTACTTGAACAACAAAATGTGTGTGAACATAAAATTCGTAACCACTCATATTAAACATATGGGCCAACAAGAAAACGGTTTGTTGGGTTGTAATCTACTTTAATGTGTGAACAGTGGGTGTAAACAAGTCGAACTAGAGTCTAATTTGACGAGCTCATTTTTTAGACCGATCCCATTTTGTGTCTTTTTTTCTAATTATTATTATTATTATTATTATTATTATTATTATTATTATTATTATTATTATTATTATTATTATTATTATTATTATTATTGATGATTTCCTTTGCTTAGCAATTATCCGGTACAAGTCATGAAAGCACGTATAATTAACGGGTCAATAAAAAATGATTACTTATAAATGGGCCTAACGAAGAACTCTGTTATTTGGACACTATTTCGATATTTTTCTTCAATTATATATTTATATTATATTTTATAAATATTACATTGAATTGATTCTCATAAAACAGAAATATTTATTAATAAAAATAAAATTAGCTGAAAGGGGAATTTAGTAATTCTATGCAATGCCTTTTTCTTTTCTTTTTTTGGGATAGAATCGTTGAAAAGGACATCTGGTAATCATATTGAATGTAAATGCAGTATATAGGTACATTTTTATTCGAATTATTAATATTTTTTTTATAATATATAAAAAGAAATTAAATTAAAACTTGATTTATGGAAGTAATTAAATAAGTCCACGAAATTAACGTCTTTTTGTTTCTCCGGGATTCCAGCTTTTACCGACAGCGAATGGAAACAGTCGGTGCTCTTCTATTCTCTACATTCCTTTCTTCCTCTCTCTCTCTCCTCAATCTCTCTCTCTCTCTCTCTCTCTTCCATCAAATTAATGTCCATAATCTAAATCTGAGTTTTCTCTCTCTAGATCGCACAAGGAAAACTAACAAAAAAAAACAAAAAATTAGATTGGGGAAGAAAATCATGCACGCCATTAAAGACAGAGTTTACGACAAGCTTTCGGGATTTTTTTCTGATTCGCGAACCTCTCATGGGACGCTAGATCATGAATCTGAGGTACCTTTTGTCACCGTTTTTTTTTTTAACTGATTTGATGCACAAGAGGCTCTTTCGATTTTTCGGTTAAATTGATGTTTATTTTAAAAAAAATCTGCGAAATTTTAATTTTGGTTTTCCGATGCAATGTGGTTGTGTTTTGGGTTTGGTTCTGTTTAGGTGGTGATGTGCTATGGGTAATTTTACAGTTTGCGATGCGTCGTAGTACCTATTTGGATCTATTTGAATCGGATATCAAATAGATCTTATAGAGTGGGAATCATCTGGAAATCTTTGATATTTGCTGAATTTTAGCTCTATTCTGTAACAATACATAAGAACAGAGAGAAAGAAATACGAGAATTCTGTTGGTAATTAAGCACATTTATGCCTTAATGTTTTAATTTTGATGCATCAATAGTGCTTACTCTATTTGATCAGGAACGCGTATATAATTTATCGAATGAAACCATCTGGAAATCTCGGCATTTTCTGGATATATGTTTTGATTGATTGTATGAGAGGATACAAAAGAACAAAGAGAGAGAGAGAGACATAAGAAAAGTAACCCTATTCCGTTTCTTTGCATTTATAGTAGATGAAAGATAACGAGTTTCTGAACATTGAGTATGTTTGTCGTATATGTCTGCTGACTTTTTAAAAGGAGAAAATGATGTAAATTGATCAAATGAAGCTTTCCCCGGTTAGATTTCGATAAATAACTCAAATGTTTATGACAAATGGTTAATCACCAGTAATAGCTAAATGTATAAAAGCTTTTATGATTCTCGATAATAGCTATACTGTTTCGGATTGTCTTTATAATGCCAGAGCTCTATCTGTGTAGGCCAGGCAATATGCCAAGGATGGGAAATCGCAGTCTTCTATCATGTCCTTCGTTCTCCCGTCAATTAATTTCGATTGGTTTAAAGCAAATGGGCAGGCTAACGAGGTCAAATCTACTGAATCAGACTCGTTTAAATGGAGAAGTAAAATTTTTTCATTGAAAGATAAACCTTTGGATAGGTATGCAGAATGTGATAACGGGTATGAAACTAAAGAAAATATAACTTCTCGTGAAGAAAATAAAGAACCTGGATCGGGGACGAGCACGAGTAGTAGCTCCGATGTATTTGAAGATTTTGCTAGTCCGCATAGTTTCGAAAAGTCAATGCCGAGCCAAGTGGAAGAATCTGTTTTCATTTCTCCGGATTTGTATCAGTTCTTTGAAGCATCTCTTCCTAATATAGTCAAAGGTTGTCAGTGGGTTTTGTTGTACAGGTAATTTCGACCAAAGTATTTTGTTGTCATATGGTCTGATTCTGTAGTTGCACAAGTAGATCTTGATGTATGTTCAATAACTTACTGAATGAAGGGCAGTACGGCGAGAGATGGTATATCGCTTCATACGCTTGTCCGAAAGAGTGCTGGTTTGACTGGACCTTGTCTATTGGTATGTTCTCCAGCTTTGAAAATTGACACGTTCGACTTTTTTTTTTTTTTTTTTTTTTTAATTTATGAAAACTGATTCCCCTTTTTATATTGCAGATTACTGGTGATAAGCAAGGTGCTGTATTTGGTGGATTACTCGATTGCCCCTTGACGCCTACTGCAAAAAGGAAATATCAAGTACGTATGCTGTATGGTTATGATCTCGACTATGTAAAATCTTTTGCTGAAGTGTGTGCCACTTACCCTGTGCAACCAAAATGATTTATATATATTGACAAACTAGTGTAGTTTGTTGACGAAGCTCTTTGCCATCTATCTTTGCGACAGGGAACAACTCAAAGTTTTGTTTTCACAACCATGTATGGTGAACCAAGACTCTTTCGACCAACTGGTAAGCTTATTATTACCTGTCACGATACAAATCATTTTTACAGTTTCTCCTGAAAGGGATGTATAGATATCTGAGCTTGAGCATTATGTTATTGAGATTAAGATGTTTGGGCGAGAGGACTCTTACCGCAAGTAAGAAATTCTATGAATCTCATTGAGCATACGATAGAAAGTTGTCATACAAATTACATATAAGGTTGTAGTCCTTGCCATCAGTAACTTATCATGTATACAAAATTCATGCTAACATCTTGATAAATCGAGTTTCTTGCATCCGGCTGTGTAATGGGTTGCGAATTTCAAAACCATTATCTTTATTTGTTAAAACAAAAAATTGCGCACAAGCTTACGTATGTTAAATCTCTCACAAGATTGTGGTTTGTTTGAATTTTCGTTTTCCTGTGCTTCCATATACTTGGTATCTGACTTCGTCTCTTTATTGAGGTATCACTTTTGTGTTGCACTACTTGGTAATTATCCTGGAACTAACGACATTTGGGAAATTCTAAACTGACGTGTGTAACTTGGACAGGCGCCAATAGATACTTCTACTTGTGCTTGAATGATTTGCTTGCTCTTGGAGGCGGTGCACATTTTGCTCTATGCTTGACTGAAGATTTGTAAGTTCTCTTCATATTAAGAAATATGCCTTCGTTTTTTCTTAATGTTGTGGATTTAGAATCTATATTTATATCGTATACTTGATTTCATATTGTAGATTATCCGGGACCAGTGGACCTTGTGAAACATTTGGCAGTTTGTGCTTAGCTCACGATCAAGAGTTTGAATTGAAAAATGTAGAGGTATTTATTTTTCGTTTTGCACGAAGCCATATATTTATTTCATCAGCTTCCCTTCAATTTTTACTGGTTTTGTTACCCTAACTATTGTTCTTTTCTTTGCAGCTGTGGGGATTCACACATTCATCCCAATACCTCAACTGAAGCAAAAGATGATATTTGGACTTCCCGTGTTCGTTTTCCGAGAAACCAACCCAAATTAATGCAGATTTTTATTTATTTATTTATTTAATTATTCTTTTTATTTAAATTACTTGGACGGGATTATATAACTATGTCAAACTCATCTATTTTGCTTGAAAAGGGAACCAATGTACATGGCATAATTCATTATTCAAGAATTAATTTGCTTTATGTAAGAGGCTTGCTGAGCCTCGACAAAATTCATGATGGTCGAAGCATCACCTTGCAAAATGACCTTGCCATTTTCCATATAGATAGCACCGTCTGCATACTCGAGTTCTTCCAGCCTATGGGTAACCCACAATGCCGTCGTTCCTGATGAACTAGCCAGCGAGCTTTTTACTGCTTTTATAACCCCAATCTGGCACAAATATAGCAAATCGTAAATATATCCATAAGTTATGATGCATCTCAAGCAGAAACTCTTATACGGTAAAAATTGACAAACAGCATTGATACCATATATGCTTAGCCTTATCGATAACCTAGTCACTAGTTAATTCATTAGCACAAATCTGAAAATGGTGTCCAGGTTTTGGAGTCAAGGAAGCACAACACGTAATTGTGTGTATGCTGCTCTTACAATCATCGCTAAATGCTCACATCCTATGCAGTTAGGACCAATAATCGTGAAAGTGTTACGACTGTCTAGAACTGCATATATATGTCCAAGTTTATACATGTATATCCCAAAAAATGAGAGAAATACATGGATTGGATTACCAGCACAACAAAGGTATGAAATGTTCTAAAAGGATTGTTACCAGCAGTAGTGATTCTAAGTTCTAAGGGACCGATGCATGGCTATGAGTTAGTGTATTGCTTTGATGGTTTTCAAACTTGTGCTCTTGATCTTGGTCGTGATAGTTGGCAGTTTTTTTGGGATTATTTTTCGGTACTCATGATAATCTTTTTTGTCATCAATACAAAATGCTTATACCATTTTACTTCAGATATCCGAAGCTAATAATAAATAGTGTCTAAATATAGGATATTAAATCATCTGTACCTGATCATTATCATCCAAGAATGATGTGAGCTCGTCTAGTAACAAGACTTTGCATGCTTCTGCCAGAGCCCCAGCTATGGCAACCCTTTGCTTTTGACCACCGCTAAGCGTTTGAACTGGTCTCTAAAGGAGTGAATAAAACGGGGTTAAGCATGAAAGAATATCTCATTCAATAACAGCCCTTTAGATAATTTGTATCTTTCTCTGGTTACATACTTGTAAATATTCATACATGCCTACAGCTTCCAATGCTTTAGCCACTCTAGACGTGATCTCATCATTCGTTATGTTGAATTTGCCGAGGCCAAATGCCACATCTGCCTCCACTGTGGGCATAACTACCTGCAAAGAAAAAGTCATGTAACCGAATGTTTCATCCTACAAGACAATTTTCTATCACTAAATGAGGATTTGGAATACGATTCCTATATAAGAAAACAAAGTCTGATAATAAACTAAAAAGAGGTCAGCCTACAGAAGATTTTTGATAATAGATTTGTATTCCCATCTCGAAGCACCAAATTCCCCAGAAACTAGAATTACCTGAAAAAATATTATTGGAACTAAAAGAGAATCTTCTCAAAAACCGAACTCACACACCAGCATTTGAAGCACAGACTTATTATTTATATTCCAAAACCATTACCTCACCCTCATATGTCTTTCCTCTCTCCATTTTCTGTCACTCATACTGATGGCAATTGATGTAACTAGCTAGCAGAATATCTTTCCTTGAGCCTATAAAAGCTCCTCATTACTCGTTTGGAACTTCATTTTACAACATTTATTTACATTATTGTCAATGCATCAAGTTTTTTCCTCTCAAATTCTTTTAAACAGTTATACAAAATCGTTTGGCTTTTAAATGATAACACCAATAGCCAACAAATTTTTTGACATATCTCACTTGCCGGGCTAATTTATCCCCCAAGATAATGCATGCCTTTTTCGAATTCTACCTGTTTCAAAATCCATAAACAAAAGCTATATGAATCCGCTTGAGAGTTTTAATTTCCAGCATTTAATACCCACCGATTACTAGTATGGTTCCTTGTAACTTCATCATTAGTCGAACCTAGCTATCACAGATTCAGTCATAAACAACTATATAACACATTTCCAAACAGAAAGTGTTCAAAGACAACAATCTCAAACAGTTATCATACATAGGTAAAGAATAGACAATTGCAGAGACTGTAATTTGCACTTGGTAAGTAAACCAACCTGATGATCAGGATTCTGAAACACAAAACTTGTCGGCTTCTTCACATGCAAATATCCATCATTTGGATTCAATAGACCACCCAAAATCTGCACCATTCCAGAAATTAAAAATCAAAATGTGTATGTCATGAATGATATACTCTCCACACAATACCCCCAAATATAAGGTAGTACATCCTGCTTCAAAGATAGTACCCTTACACTTGAAAAAATTGCAAATAAGATTTCTACAGGTAAAATTAAATGAACGAAAAATTGGCAAATACGCATACATGGAGATTATACACGCAAAACGTTGCATACTTTTAGGAGGGTAGATTTTCCGCAGCCATTGGGGCCGAGGAGCATCCAGAATTGTCCAGAGGGGATACTGAGCGAGCAATCGTTGAGAATCGGAACAGATTTTCCTTGCTTAGTTTTAATCGAGTAGCTGAGATTCCGGCAGTCTACTGCGAAGTTCTCGGATACAGTGGCGGCGACGCAATTGTTTCCGGTGGAATGAAGCCGGACGGGAGAAAGTGGCACCGCCGCTGCGGCGGCAACGCAATTGTTACCGGTGGAGTGAGGCCGGACGAGAGGGAGTGGCCCCGCCGTGGTGGCGCGAACCACGGCGATGGAATTCATTTCTCCAGGCAAAAATAATGAGATTCAGCCGTGGTAAATGGATTCATGTATGCATTACGAGATTTGGAACTACAGGCCCACCGACACGTTTTGCGGCCCAAAAGGTCTTTTTATGATGGGCTTTCCGCACTTTGTTTTACATATTTAACCCCTTAGGTAAGGTCAAACTACGAGAAAAACCCATCATTTTTGGATAATACAACCGCACCCCTAAACTTTGAATCTTCTTACACGTCCACATTTACAGTGTCAAATTATACATGATCTTCTAGATTCCTTTGGAATGTCCTCCATTTTGTCCACATTTACAGTGTCAAATTATACATGATCTTCTAGATTCCTTTGGAATGTCCTCCATTTTGTACCCGTTTTATGCAAAAATGCAGTTTTTGATACACCACAATCCGATATTGACAAGCCAAAAGACACATCTTATGATCATTTTGTTTCAAAATGTGGAGTTCGAATGGGCTAAAACGGATATAAACTGTAGAATATTCCACATTATCTAAAAGATGCCACGAAATTTGACACCGCAAGGGTGGACGTATAAAGATTCATAGTTGAGGGAGATGGTTGTAATTACCCAAACAGAAAGATTTTTTTCGTAATTTAACCTTACCTCAGGGGTGATCGTAATTTACCCTATATAAAAATTATATATATATAATATATATATTGAAATGAAATTCTTTATCACTTTACATTTGAAGAATCAAACACATGCAGCAACTACATCAAGCACATTTCTCACAAGAGAACAATGCATCTAACCAGTCATCTAATTAAAACAGCATACAAGATAATAACTTGGTGAGCAAAATATACCCAATAATCCAATATCATTAGCCTTGATATATGTATAATTAGTCAAGCATATCAGAAATATCTTCACCATATAGTTCATTAATCAAGCACCCGAGAATCGAATAAATAGCCTCTGCTTCCGCGTGGGACCTACCGCCCGAGGTAAAAATATGAACTCCGTTACCAATCTGCAACCAGCTACAACCAGCAACCTTCTTCACTTCCTTACCTCTCATAATCCTCATCACCCTCCCCATTTCACCCCACTCCCCACCCGAAGCATACACGCTAGCCAACTGAAAATACCTCGACCCGTTATTCCCATTATACCCTTCAATTTCCATCAGCTTTTTCTCCGCCATTCTCGCGAGTTCCACGTTTCTATTTGCTCTGCAAGCATTCAGAAACGTGCTTATTATAATCGAATCGGGTTTAAACGGCATCTTCTCCATGAAGGATACAGCCTTCTCCAGCTGATTCGACCTTCCGTATAAGTCAACCATGCACGCGTAGTGATCGGTTTCGGGGGTAATTCCGTAATTTTCACTCATCGAAGAAAAATAATGTTCGCCCACTTTTATTAACCCACTGTGACGGCAGGCTGATAGAAGTGCGATAAATGTGACAGCATCGGGTTTAAGGCCTTTCGCTATCATTTCCTCGAAAAGAAAGATTGCTTCTTGTTCGTATCCATGGTGAGCGAATCCAGCAATCATGACATTGTAAATGACAGTGTCTTTTACGCTAACTGTTCGGAATATTCTCCGAGAATATACTATCGAGCCGCATTTCGAGTACATGTCGATAATAGCACTTATTGCTTTCTCATCCATTGGAATTCCCGTTCTCAAAATGTACGCGTGAATTTGCTTCCCGAAATCCACGTTGGCTTTTACAGCACATGCACAGAGAAGACTGACAAGTATCACAGCGTCTAATACTACCGTCTCCTTTTCTGCATACTCGCGAAAAAGAATAAAGGCATCTTCGCAATTCTGCAATCTCACGTAGCCAGAAATTATCGCAGTCCAAATGACGAAATTCTTTTCGTCCAACGAATCAAAAAGCCGTCGGGCTTGTTTCATATCACCTTTTGCTGAATATCCAACAATCATTGAAGTGACAGCAAATATGTTGCCGGTTCCAAATGTCTTAAAAACTCCCTCGGCAAAACTCATAGTACCACACTTGGAATAAATATCGATAATCCCACTGCTTATAAACGAATTCGAACACATTCTTTGTTTCAAAACCCATGCGTGAACTTCTTTCCCCAGCTTCAAATCTTTCAAAGAAGAACAAGCTGTTAACAAACTAGCTAAAGTGTGCTCGTTCCGTTGAAATCCCTCTTGCCCCATACGCTTGAACAATTCAATTGCTTTCTTTTCCAACTCTTTTTGAACATAACCCGAGATCATTGTATTCCAAGTTACATTATCATTGAACTCCGGATTAGTAAAAAATATCTGCTCTGCCGTTTCCATTTGGCCTTCTCTGCAACAAGCAGCAATCAAAGCATTTTTCACCACCAAATCCACAAATCCTTCACCATCGCATTCTTTAACGACCCTCGAAGCATCTGAAAAACTTCCGCACTTGGAGTACATATCTATCAAAGAACTCAGCGCAAATGCACTCAAATCGCTCCCACTCTTTACCATGAAACAATGCACCTGCATCCCATAACACAAAACCCTTAACTTAGCTATCAAATTAAGCATCGTGGTCAACGTAAACTCGTCTATCCGAGCAATGCCGTTGTTATCGAACTGCATTTGATTAAATAACTCAATAGCCTCGTGTTCATAACCATCAGACCGTGCATAGCCAGCAATCATGGAATTGTACGTGACGGAATCTTTACACGGAGAAGAATCGAAAATGATTCTTGCTCTGCTGAAATTACGTGACTTGATATAAGTGTTGAGTATAGTGTTCCAAGAGAACACATTCCGGTCAGGCATTTCATCGAACAGTTTCTGCGCATCTTCAATGAAGCCATGTTTGGAGTACAAATCAATGAGTTGATTGGTGGTGACAATTGTTGGGAGGAAACCAGATTTTAACGCATGTGACTGGAATTTCAGACCTTCTTTGAGCGCTCTCATTTACCAAAGAATGTACACTAAATAAAGCATGAGCCTCGAATTATCAAAATACAAAATTCGCAATATTTTCCTCGAAAGCTGATTGATTTTAGTGCGAGCAAAGAAAAAATTGCGAAGCTCGGCCCATTAGATATAAGGCCCAAATTTGCAGTCAGATTCCTTTCTATTTATTTGAGGCCAATAATATTAATTTCACAATTAATAGAGATTTTTTTATTTGAAATTTAGTTTTATCTTCTAGGGCAGTCGTTATTTTCCCAAAAGCAGCCTCTTCGCAATTTCATGAACACAGAACTTATTATTGCACAACTTTTGCAAGTTCTAATTTTCCCAAAAGAAAATCATAGACCAAACATTTTTTTGTTTAAAACAAATGATTTGGCAACCATAGATGTGCACTGAATAAACACTACGTTCATCCATAACACGCAAATTACACAAAAGGATTAAACTGGCACAAAATAAGCCTCATATGACAATAGCGGCAGAAAAAAAACTAACTGGTGGATTTACCAACTCGACCACTCTTGCTGGCAACCAAAAAGAAAAAGAGAGGAAATATTACTCTTCGTATTAAATATCGTGTAGCTTGAACGGGTTTCAAATTTGAAAAACAAAAAATCGAACTACAACCTATATTTTTTTTACAAATTGAGGAATCCCACAACACACTCAAACAGCTCTTGTTGGCATTTTCACTGTTCTATCTGGAAAACAAAAATTGCATACACATCCGAACTAGAGTAGTGGTGATCCATTCCCTAACAAATATTACGAGAAAAAAAATGACTAATTCCCTCAGAAAAAACCACCCCCCCAAAAAAAGAATACGAGCAATCGAGATACACAAACTCATTTTTCAATGCCTTGCTGCAAATACTGAATCAAATCGTAACCAGCAGTGGTCCATTTATTATATGCATCAGTGCATGTTCGAATCATGAAATTGGCTGCTTCACGTTCACTCATCTCAGGATGGAATCTCTTGCGAAGATTCCCAATAGGATCTCCCCTGCTAAAGCATGGCAATCCACTGTCCATCATTAGTGATACTGTGTTTATGATTCCATCCATGTATCGGCGTGCAGCAAGGTAACCCTTTACACATAACCTATAACACAAACAGGGGGGAAAAAGAGGGAATAAAAATAAAATTAGTAGCTTCACAACCACGATGAAATTTCTCAGAAAATCTCGAATACTATCTTTTTTATCTTACCGTACGAATTGGTACCATGTGTCACTTTTCATCACCCCAGATGGATCGAGTAACTGAGTCATCTCGTGACTCAGTTTGAAGTGAGCACTCTCGAATCGCATATTTCCACCGGGTGAAATTTCAAAAATAAAACCGAAATCAATGTGGACAAGCCTGCCTACACTGCATTCACAAACAACCAAAACTTGAGACTCCAAAGAAATAGTGGAGGACAAGAAAATCTTAGTCTCTATAAACCAGTTATCTTATTATTCTTTTTTTTTTCTGAATAGCACAAAGGATGTGGATAACTGAGTTCATAATAGCTTTGAGGTCTTGTGCACTAGTAATAAACCTGTAAAACAAAGTGCTTACCTGTCGAACAAAAGATTCCCATTATGTCTGTCTTTAGGTTGAAGCAAGAGGCTAGCAACTGCATATCCGGCACTGCTAATGAGGAAGTTCTCGCGAGCAGCTTCAAAGCTTGGAGAACCAACAGGTCCGAAATCCTGTTGAAAAATCTCATATAGACCACCATCAGTGGTCTCACCCATCTGACTCCTACTGCGCGTATTGGGCACAACCTGCCAAGCAGAAATATTTAATATTATTATAAATATCGAAAAATGGAATACTCGAGTTCAACATCAGATATGTGAAAATCAAATACTTATTTCTATACATGATCTAGATTTGTAAAGAAAAAAAAATATACTATGGAAAAAGCATGAGCTAATGAGGCCGAAACTAAAGATGTAATCGAGTAGCAACTTGGGTGTACCTCAATAATTCCTCTCTCTGGGCCAGTTGGGAGTACTCCATAGGGAAACAAATATATATTGAGCCCAACTGCTTCAAAGATGTCCTTCAAAAGGGAAATAACTTGCAAAGCAAGAACGTCTTGTCGACAGTCATCTCCAACCTATATGCAAACGTAGCTCCATCAGACTATGACTTATACATCTTGAAGATAAAATTTACATTACACATATAATATATATACATATGTATCAATATCAATGAATTTTAATTATTGTCTTTGCTATAAGCTACATAAAAATAAAATGAAGTGAGCAAATTTTCTAAATCCTAAGTATGAAACTTGATACGATGCGAACCTATGTCAGAGGATAAAATATTTCAGGTCAAATTGTCAATCCTATAACTCTACAAATACATCAGAACACTATAAAAAGAAGAAAAAAAAATGATCCTCATATTCAGAGTTATGCAGGAGATATGATTCACTCTGCAATCTCTGCTTAGGCAATTCCTTCATTCTGCATAGATAAGAAATGCAGTCCTGCAGATCAAAATTCCTTCTAAAAAATGATGGTTATTTTCTAAGGAGGCATATTAACTTCTTACAGATTGGGGGGTTGCATGATTAATCAGATAAATGACAGCATTTTGACACCACCAGATATCAAATGCATAAACTAACTAGAGTAAGGATGCATGCATATATACAATTATGTGAGGCTTATGGGCAATTGAAAAATGAATTGCATCAAAAGATATAAGACTCTCAAGGAGGTTATAAATATACCTTGAAAATACAAGCTTGCGGCTTTATATCTGTTTGATCCCCATCCCTATCAACCACATTGAATGTGATCATTATAGGAACTTTTGCTGCTGATTGTAAAGGAATTCCACTATCAACCTGAATACCCCTGACAAGTTTAGTATGAGCAGTAGGTAGGTAGAGATCATCTCCATCCATTTCAATTTTCTCCAACTCCCTAATTCAACATAAGAAATAATATCTTGTAATTAGAATTTGAAAAGGAGAAGCAGCAAGTGAAAAATAAATCTGGAAGTGCACGAGCCACAATATTCCAAAAATACCTTCTTATGCCAGCACGTCTTTCCTCCTTCGGCACTGGATAAAGGACACCGGATATAGATGTAACTTTGTCAAAGAAATCAAATTCTCTTTGAAAAATGTCGAGGGCTTTAGGACTGAAACCATCAATAATTTTTTGTCTAACAGCAGGAAGTAGTTCTTGAAATGAGGTATTCTGCAAACAGAGAAAAACAGCACCCAAGCAACTAACATGAACCAACATTCAATTGTGACATTAAGAATTCAGCTTTAGAACAAAATAAAGCTAAGACATGAGAGTATATATCCAAATGGGAAACTTCCACTCGTCAGTAAGGTTTATTCAGTTATACTGACCAATTAGCTGGCTAGATTTGCTAGCCAGACTACAAAGAGAAATCATGAAAAAAATCTCTTCAAAGAATACAACGAGGGTAATCTTAAGCAAAACAGCAACAACAACAACAATAATGGGGACTCATATATATGCTAACAAGATGGTTCCTAAATTGCAAGCTTACTGAAGAAAGCTAAAATGGAGGATAAATATACAGGTGATTTGGGGTTGGGCAAATTTATCTTTGCCATCTCAGAAAATTCACTTCTAAGTAGCAGAACATGAATCCCAGTTTGTGTATGTGCCAGATATGAAAAGCCATGGCGAAGGGAGAGTGAGCTCCTCAATGAGAATATATTAGGGAAAATTTGAGTGGACAAAGGGGTAAGGAAGATTACAAAAAAGGTTTAGAGGGATTTAGATGAACTGTAAGCTGCCATACTTAGCATAATTAGCATTAATTCCAAAAAATAATCATAGAACCAATATACTAAGGAATATGCAATAATGAAAACATATTTAACTATTCCTAGGGTGTTAAAATAACCAACTGTTTGAACAAGTATACCGTGACAGATGGTGCACCATCTTTCTCCGATTCAGGATCAGAAGTCTCGCCCTGCAAAAATACAATGTGGTTATATATAATTTAAAGCAACTTCACATAGGTCATATCAATATTTCTTCAACAATCAATTAGCCAAATAAATTGATTTTTTCTCACCTGTAAATGCCATATTAATATATGGGCAAATATATCACTCCTTTGTGCAGCTCTAAGCAAGTATCCTTCAACCAACCTCTGCAAATTGAAGTTGGCCAACGTGTAATTAGATGCAGAAGCAACACAATGCATATTAACAAAACTTAGAAATGGACTGGTCAGATGGTAAAACTACAAAATGCTAATCATTTAAAATCAGATGTTCCGTTATATTGGATGTCAAACAAAACTTATCGGCTCAAAACTGCAAATATTGAGGATTATCTTTTACCATTTCAGTTGTGCTTCAATAACTGTGACACCCATTACTCTCAGCAGTGAAAAGTACAGTGAAAACTTAGGACCAGTGAAAACTTAGGACTGACTCTTTTAGATCTCTAGATTGTTCTGTTAAAGTCAAACATAAGTATGCCATCAAGAACTCACCCCTTCATCATATCTTAGTGCCTGAACCAGCTGAGGCATGAAGAATGTCACTTTCTCAGGCGGATAAGATTCCAAAACCCTGAGAACATAAGCCATTACGCGAGGGTGACCTTTATACGCCGGAGTAAGGAACTCCAAAGCTTGTGTGACCGAACAAGCTGCCCAGTGAGGCAACTGTTGCAAAAGTGTTGAATTCTCATCCACCGCTTTGGGTGTTATAAAATAAGGTAAAGCTTCAGGAATGCTGCGTATCTCCAATATACTCGACTATGAGAGGAAAATACAAGCATAATTTAAGTTAGTTCAAACGAATAATAAGTGTAGAGCGCAAGCAAGCAAGATGTATAATTTTTTAACCAAAATTCCTCATCTAGGTCTCTCTTTGCGAATCATTATTCAGATGTCCAAATTAGATATTTAACCGTGGTAAAAGCATTAATACTACACACATTCTGACTTTTAAGGCATTTAATAAATAATGCCTTCCAACGCTTATACTGTGTCCATATTCACTTTCTGCACATGACATTATCAAAAAAATTATGCTGAACTTGCAAGTTTTCTTGTTTCAACCCAGCAAAATTCATCAACATACTTGAACTAGAAGTGTGATTTCACCCTTCAGAGCAGAATTAGCTGGAAATCTTGCAGCCATTGATAGAGCAATTGAAGGATCCACAGAAAAGGCAGTCCTTGCAAATTCAATCCATCTCTCCGAGCTAATTTTAAGCCGAGAAGTACTTTCCCTGCATACAACATTAGAAAAGAAGATACTCAAATAGGATTATCAGTGCCGAATTAAGGATAATAGAAGTAATTGGGACAGTTCCAATTCCAAAAGGTCGATGATAATTACTTTGGACCAACTGGTTGAGCCCAAACCTCAAGCCTGTCTGCCTCATGCTGGCACAGCATAAGCAGCAGCTGCCTCCGCTTTTCCCGTCCAACAGCGTAGTTCTCCATCAGACCCCAAACAGGATGATATTGATCCTTCTGAAGAACATAATTTTGTTTTCTAAGCTTCATTGTCCCAATACATATAAATACAATTGTCTGCCACAAAAGGGGCTGAAAACTTTAAGGTCTCCTGTGATTATCTTACCATATCATTTAAAGAACTACCATTTTCAACGCCCCGTGATTTCTGATCAAGTTGAGCTGTGTCCACCTTTTCATTTAAAAGATGGTGGACGAATACTGAAACAGATTGAGCTTCACTCTGAGCAAAATTATTGTTATTTAAATCATACCATTCAGGTACACGAGCAAACCACCCTAAGGAGGCCCTGTTTTTTTGGGGGAAGAAAAAGCACAGCAGAGTTTTCAGACTACAACATACTTCAAAAAAAATCACTAGAATATGATCAATAATTAAGAAAAGAAACACAACTTAATGGAACAGCAGTTCTATGCAGAGAGAGAGATGGCCAAGGAAATGCTCAAGCACTACAAGGATCCATATCATAAATATATAACAAGACAAAGTTGTGGGATTTCCAACGCGTCGGTCATTAACCATTATGGGTATACAAGCGTACTTGAGGAATATATAGAACAAATGGCGTAAATCCGTCAATAGGCATACATCACAACAACCAAATCAAAGATCAGATATTACATTAAAAAAAATCAGATTACTACATCTGTTAACTGAGTAAAACAAAATAAACATAAAATTCTATATCTCCGAAGAAAAATAGCAGATTCAAGACAAGAGTCACTTGAAGCAGCCAACCATTGGTAAATAAATATTATTCTAACTATTTATTTTCTGGCATCTTAAGTCAGCAACGGAAATTGAATTAGAGGCTCAATTATCTGTCAACAATTTTTTTTTATGCTACCCAAGTATGTACATAATCCAATAAACAAATTTAACAAAGTAAAAAGTAAAATCAGCCCCATGTGCAAGTTTTGCTCCTGAACATCCACTTTATGTCATCATGTCCAGAATAGATTTATACACAAACATCTTAAATTGTCAATCTATACTAATGCTACTCAGTATTTAACCATTGTAATAAACTACAAGTGACTAAATGTAGCAGATAACTGTTTTTTTCTTGAAGTCATACCTATATATCCTATCTTCGAGCAACTGAAGTCCTGATCGGAAGTTCTGAAGGTTCCCTTGCGTTTGGCATGAGCAAAATTTCAGGCCAAAAAGCATGATAGTAAAGAAAGTTCCTGTGGCAACCGGATGCCGTGAAAAGTTCCATGGGAGTTTTGTTGTGCCTTGTAACATCCGACCTAGTAGCAAGAGCTGTTCAACGCTATCATGTCGAACTACCTGGAATAACAATTACCATATGATCAATACATATTACAGTGTGATGTAAATAAAAAAGATACCATAACAAGAAGATTGGTACTGATCAGCTAAAGAGGGCAACAATACTTCACTATGCGACAGAATATTTGAAGGAGCAGAAAGTAAAGTTTAGGATGGGTGTAAAAACTGTATGCAGAAGGCAGTGATGCCGAATAAGACTTGTAAGATTAAATATGTGATGCTTACTTCAAAGCGATCAATAAAAAATCCAAGCCACAGCCTATGAGCCATTATCTGTTCAACAGGATCCTTCTCAGGCTGCGGCTGAGGCTCTCCAGGAGCAAGGTGGGGCCTCAATTTTGCAGAAGGTCCACAGCACTTCGCATCAGATGCAAAAAGACCTCGCTTTGTGTCTATTGTCCATAACCATGCATCTACCAGCTCAGCAAGAACAAGAGATCCCAACTGAGGAGCAGCAGAAACTAACCATGTCCAGATATACACTCCAGTCTCCACGGCTTCAGGTGTGGATATGTAAGCTGGACACCAGCAAAGAAGGCGTAGAAGTTGCGAAAAGCTCTCAGTGTTTGGTTTTGAATCTGAATCCTGAGAAGAATATGTTATATCATGTTCAGCCTAAATAAAAAAAATTAAATTAGTCCGTTCGTCATACTAAAATTAGTAATTTTACCAGATTTGAGAGGAGCAAGGCTGTAGCTTGAGAACAAGTTTCACGAAAAGATGATTTGTCTACTTCGTCCCCTTTCTCTGCAATGTTTACAAACTTCTGAAGCAACCTCACAAATTTGGAAAGCAATATCTCATTGAAGGATTCATTTTTGGGTTGTGGTGATTGTGTGGAGGACCCCAGAACTGGAAGGTCCAGATCTAGACCACCGGTAGATTGATTAAGACCACCAATACTCTCATACAACCTTCTCATCCCTGCAATTTCTCCAGCATGGTTACATTTTGCTGTTGCACTAACCATACCAGTACCAAGAACCTCCAAATTGAATGCGTCAGTCAATTTCAAGTTTCCTCCTGAAGCAGCAGCAGCAGCAGCCATGACTGCAGGGATATTTGCAGTTTTTGTACCATTCCAACAATCATTTTTACCCGTTCCAATCCTTATCTCAGACAAAAGAGAAACGACGTCAGCTGTAGGCTGTGTTCTTTGCCATGTATTAGCTTTGCAAAGGTTTTCCTGAACACCATAAATTTTGAATAAGAAGTTGAGGGTAATAGTACATTTCCAGGCAACATTTGATATCCCTTCTTTGCCTTTTGGGGCCCAAAAATGGGCAAAGATCTAAGACAATTTCTGAAGGGAGGTGAACAAAATAAACCTAGAGTTAGCATAGCAGCTAATATCCTCGTAGAAAATTAGCTAATAATCATTGTATGCATCACTTTCAATTGATGCATACAACTATACAAGCTAGACTGTAAAACTGCTAATAGACCGGCTATAGACAGCCTTTCAGTAGCATTTTTAAGATTAATTCATCTTATATCAGTCATAAAACTATTAATCCCAATTACAACCACCACTAATAGAAAAGGTACAAGCAAACAGCTAGGTATTCCAACTTAAAAAGAAAGGAACAAACAAGAATAAGAAAATGCAATGCATAGGAATAGGATGATGCACAAGAAAGAAAGAAAAAAACCTGAAGAAGACCCTGGCTAGTGCATGGAGCATATGAAAGTGAGACAACAATCCATTCCCGAACAACCTTTTGATACAAAGAGCGAACGTTGGCAACAAAAGCAGGGTCGCTTACTACAGCAGAAGGTGGATCATTATGCATTGAGAGTAACAGGGAATCCAGACATAACGAGTTCCACAAGATCTGCAAGTCATGTAAACAATTTCCAGGCACGCTTGGAATGTGATACAAGAAGTTTAAGTGTCAACTAGAACAAGAGAGTGCAATTTTACCTGAGGAAATTTATCTCTAAGCTGAGTTAGCAAACTAACAGAGATATCTCGTACATTATCATCCCTTTGAGACAAGTTTTTTATGAGGAAACATGCATGGACAGAGAGAGTAGACTCTCTAGCAGCAGCTTCTGGCCCAGTATCTGATGCCCGATCCTCCTGCCGCAAGTTTCATAGAGCATTACATTTTGGAAGTTATCTCCGAAGAAAGAGAGTATACAGATACATACTGAGAGAAATAAACAATTAACTTTTACTTGAAGCGTGAACTGTCAACTCACATAAATATATGGTGTGAACTAGATAACAGAATTCGTTACAGAAAGGCCACTGCTCAAATTTGGACTTTCTAAGTGTCAGGATATTTTATGATATAAAATGTGCAATTTGATGGAAAATCTGCGTCTTTTTAACACTTTTTCTTTTTCAAATGAGTATACTGCGTCATATGGTAATTTTGACGTTTATGTTGCCTCAAAATAGTGCCAAATTCTTGTAATTTGTCCCAATATGCATAAAACTTATAAAGTTAATTAAAGCCTGGTCACATGTGAGGTGACAATGGTATCACACTGTCCCTCTCTTGACATTCAAAGCTGCAGCATTGCATCAAAATATTATTTGAAAATTTCATCGATCACCGTTTTATGTGGCCAGAAATTTATGATGCCTTCGAGTGAATTATTCAGTTTAGCTTGTTAAAAAAAATGTCTCTAACTATATGAAGAAATAATGACTTATGAATGTTGAATATTGACAAGTTTCTCCACAAATGCTTACATATACAAAAAATTTTGACTCTAAAGAAGCTCTAGATCTTCTCAAATAAACTTCTAGAATTCCACGTCTCTTTTTAATTAACCTAGGCTGAAGCATAACTCAAGCATAGAATCCTAATATTTGAACACTATGCTTGCATAAATACCTAGAGTTTCAGTGTACAACAGCATGGCCTCTTGTCCTCTATATAGCATATTGGATGGAAGTAAAAAGGCGGAAAAAAATATTTAAATAAATAAATAAATAACAAGAGAATATTAAGTGAAAGCAGAGTACTGCCTAGGGAAAGCTATGGCTGAATTTGGATTTAAGGATTTGAAATGAGTACAAATGGAAAGGGATATAAATTCCCCATAATTGCTCAAAAAAAGTGAGAGCTATGGATTTGAAATTCCTTGTCAAATGACTCAATCCAAACAACCTCAATGGATTTGTTATTATGGAATATGGATTTGAAATCCCTCTCTCAAATCCTTCCATCCAAATGCACCCTAAAAAACTAAAATAAAACAGCCACAAACAATGATTTGATATCTACAGCAGTCCTTAGACAAATCAAAGTAGCACAATTCAGTAAACTCCCATAGTAACCATAAACATCAATTATTTGCATTTCTGCATAAAACATATAATTCCCCTTTTTTATCTTATCCATAATGTTTGACTGTAATATAGAATGGGATTAAATAGGTAATAGGTTGAATGATCAAAATCCCCTCACATTAACAGGCTTCAGTTAAAAGGTTCACCACAATACCAGATAGCTGTTCTCCAGTTAGAACATAAAAACATCACAAGTATACAAACTGTAGCTCAAAACATTATCAAGGGTGAATATTAACTTCATAAGAGCAGTAAATTGTGAAAGTGCAATACTATAAAACAAATATTCACATGAGGTCAATAGCCAAGTTTGCCTCATATGATTGCATGTGGAAGCCTCTGCTTGTGACAAATATGAAATGAAGAAAAGAGAAGGGAGGTGAGGAGTGTAATACCAGCCAAGTTACTGCTGTTTCAAATGCCCGATGGACAATAGCAGTCAAACACTGGGAAACAGCTGGCATAAGATTAGGACTTCTTAGGTATTCAAATGCACAACTGAATGCACTTCGAGAAGCAGTTGAAGTTGGGCCTCCATTTAGAATACCACCGTTGCTACTAAATCGTATTATCTCCAAAAACGCTACAGCTAATAGATAGGTTGCTTTGACGCCTAAAGAAGTCAAACATATCGCAGAAACTTTAAGGATTGGAACCACCCTTACAGTCTTGCATTAAAGAAAGAACTAGGACTGAAATACTTTTATTAACTGCCAAGTACAGAACAATGATGAAAGAATTAGACCTGAAATTGTACTCATTGCAGAAACCTCCACCCGTCCTCCTAAAGCAGCAGAAAGGGCAGTTCTTTGGGTTACAGCAGCTTTTTCATTTCCACTTCCTCGTTTACTGCCTGGGTTGTGAAGAGCATTGAGCTCCAACTCATCTTCAAGCCATTTTACAGAGCTCACAACCTGAACACAAGCATATTTTTGCTCTCATAACTAAAAGTATATAATCAAATTAAAAAAATATATATTTTGGCATGATATTGAAATTGACTGGCCAGATAGTAAGAATCCCCCAGTACTATCATGAACCTGATGTACGATGCATGTCAAAACCATTGAACATTTTTTTGTGGAAAACGTTGAACCTGACAAGTTAAACTTTTACAGCTAAATGTTGGAAACATATTGAAAAACAGTACATTTTTCGTCATTTTTTAGGCATAGCAAAATGAACTAGCTTCCTGAAAATGATGACCAAATAATAAGAATCCCCCAGAACTAACATGAACCTAATATTAGATGCATCTTCCGAACTGTTGGGCATTATTTTAGGAAAAAATTATCTTCACCCTGACAAGTTTAGGTTTTATAGCTAAATGTAAGAAACAAATTGACCCAATATTTTTTCCATCATTCTTCATAGATGCATAGCAAAATGAACTGGCCTCCCGAACTTTAAGTCAAAAAGATCCTCCCAAGTGAGCAAGCAGCACTGCAATATGTACCCCTAGATAAATTATTAATTCTTGGATTTGGGGCATATGATCTCATCATGGTAAAGCTTAACCGAAAGAGTATTCAAATATCCATTAAGATAAATTTGAAATTAATAGATAATGAGGGAATACTAGAACATGGTGCACACTAAAAATACACAACCCTTTGCTTTCATTAAATCCTTGGATGATCAATATAACAGACTATTTCCAAATTCATTTTTTTGAGCAAGTGACCAGAGGAGAGAATCAGAGACAGACCATTTGCACAGTATAATCATCAAAAACTGCAACATTCATATTGCTTTGAACCCAACATATTTAAGCAAGGCAGAATCCAATGTGATTTTGGCTTTAGACGTATGAAATATTCATAGACATACAATGCCTAGTAATACAGATATAAGGATAAACAGACTTGATTACTTACTGACACTACTACATATCTGCAGGATGCTGGCAAGAACCATGAGAGCAAATTAAAGGTAAGAAGAAAAAGTTCCCATCATAATGACTAAACGTGTTCATATTGATGACAAATAATATGTTAAACAGTATACGATCCAACTTTTCATATATATATATATTTCAACACAAAGCAGCAACTCCTATAACAGTCAGCAAACATTAAATTCATACAAAAGTATTCTCAAGGTCAACGTACAAGAGGTGGCGTCCCTTGAGAAATGCGCTGAACAGCAGATGACCATAGCGAATTCCACATGTATGGTCCACCCACAGCTTGGAGGGGAATGTTGCCCATGCTGCCAACACTATTTAGTGTAGTTGAAACTGACTTTGCTGTAGCCGGAGTTTTCTGTATTGGAGGTGCTAACCCAAAGAGAGCAATATAGAACCACAAATTCCGAAATAACTTCAAAAGTGAAGGTTCTACATCTACACTGGGGTCGAAATCAGAACATATTTCAGCTACGGCAGGCAGAAGAGGCCCAAGAAAATCTGCCCCACTCCTGAAATATTAAGTTCGCTCATGAGGAAACTTACTCAGCACTTCCAGTCAACAATGAAAGAGTAACAAGTCAACTGTTATTAAACTTTACCTTCCACTTTTTGATTCAGCTGCCAAGCCCACATCTGAGCACAGTGACAGCAAGCGGTGACGGTAATCTGGACGCAATTTATTACACGTAATTCCACTAGCGATCAACAAAAATCCTGCAGGTAAAGTCTAGAGTGTAATTGAAACAGTGAGCATCCATTTGTTAGAAAATGTTCTTTTCTCACCAAGTATGGTATCAAATAATGTGATGAAAAGTAAAAAAACATACCTCAATGCGTTCGGTTGTGACTTCAGGTGCCTGGGTTTTACTTTCAGCAGAACCAATACCAGATAGTTTACCTAAATAGCTCCGAGTCATTAAGACCACAGCTTCACGGTATGACTTTTCAAAACCTAAACTCGCCATCCGAGCAACAGCATCAAGAAGCTGCAGTAACTCAAAAAAAAGCAGGTTGAGAAAGTCGTTCAAGAAGAAACTTGTGATAAATAAATGATAGAACTGCTTGTGAGAGATAATGCAAGAATATTTTCATTCATTCAATTAGGCCCTTCTCAAAAATGACTAGCAATAAGCTTAAATGTAGGAACATTCAAAATTATTGATGCGTTTAAGGGATAAAAACATACCCGAAGTCTCAATAATCCTGGAGTTGACGCATCACCCTCTTCCAAACTCTCAATAAATAGGGGTAATATCATGTCAACGACTTCAGGCTTCCGAACAGAAACATTCAACTCAGATAATAAACGTATGATATTCAGCTGAATAGGAGGGGCTGCCTGCTTCTCTTTTCCATCCTGAAAGCACAAAACAATATCCATAAAACGAACAGCATAAACAATAGAACTAATAAATATTTGAGCATATAGGTATAGGCATGTATATCTAGGTCTCAAACAAAGTAGACAATAGAGTGACCTAGTCAACAGAGGAACTAAGTTGCTTACAGTATTTGCAAATAAGGAACAACCATGGCTATTATAGTATATAAGAGCACATCTGTAATACATACAAATCATCCTTAATCCATGCAAAATCAGTAACTGTAAGATGGAACATAATGTCTTTTAATGGCCTAACATAAATGTCTAATTCCCTTACATATCTTCAAATATTTAGTCATCTAGATAAAAGGAACTATCAAATTAAATATTGAGCAATAGCAGTCTCTCATCATCCACATCACTGCAGACACTAACCTCTTCCTCATAATCATTTCGTTCACGAATACTAGTAGCTAATCCCATGATAAAGGTGTCTACTGGAGACCGGTCCTTGGTCCATCCAAATTCAATTATCTCACAACATGTTTTCAGGACACTTTCGAACATGGATCCCTGGTTCGTCGTTGAACTGTCAGCCTGTTCATAGTAGATCATAAGAAAAATGCAGTAATGAGAAATCCTTAACCATTTGGGTCACTAAACCAACAAAAGAATGAATATACCTGAGCACAAGTAGCCAGCACAAGGGGTTTGAACCGAATGAGCAGAACCCTGAGGAGCTGCCCACCTCTAGTCACAGCTGCTTGAGATACCCCGGAAAGCAAACAGCCAAAAAGCTCTTCACAAGCTCTCAACTTACGCCACACAGAGAACAAGCATGCTTCTGCAGACTCTATCAACAATGCAACAGCTCCATGCAACAGTCTCTTTGATGACTTTCCTTCTGTGTCAAGATATGATAGAGTCTTGATTTGCAATCTAGCAGCAGATTGGTACACCGATAGCTTCTTATTGATCCTAACTTTCAGAAACTGCCCTTGCTCGGACCAATCGCGTTTCCTTATCTGTCCACGCAACAAACAATTATTACATGACCTGATTTTTAGCAGGTTTTAAGCTCTTTCCATTTACACATACAACCACCTGTAGAGAACACTGTTTTAAGTCTATCAAATTTGTTTATGTTTACCTTTAAAAAAGCAAGCATCGAATGGAGTTGATCCTTAGCAATTCCTCGCACTTGCTCCATAAGCTGGGGCTCAACAGCCACCTTACTAAATACATGTCCAATTAACTTGAACACAATATCTTGTTTTTCAAGACTCTCCACCGACTCCTCCTCAAACAGAGTTACAACCTTCTTATAAGCCTCACCGTCATTGAGCCCAAGACTTGCACCAAACAAATCACCATTGCTTTTCCATGCAATGCTCCCACCACCATTCACTACAATCCCCCTTGAAGATGATGCATCGTCCTTTGTAGCCGCACTGCTAGTCGACTCCGTCGAAACAATGCTGCCCTCAACACCAGGAGACTGGTAATGGTTCACACTCAAGGGAGAGCTCTGAGCCGAAGTCGCGTCAGGGGTATTCGAAATTGCCTCCCTTGGAGAGCTTGGAACCACAACATCCAACCGATCAAGAAGAATAGAAACCAATCTATTAGCATCAGAAGGTAGAATTGGAGGGAAATTTGAACACAGTGCATCTAAGAAAACCCTAGAAACACTAGAAACGGCATTGCTTATCGTCTGAATCACAACTTCCCCAGTGAATCTTGCCACATCGCTAGCAAAATCAGGGGACAATTCTGCCGCTTTTGAAATATAGCTCAATAAATCGTTGAAGAATGAAGAAATTGCCTCAGAGGAATACGCCTGCGGCCAGAAATTGAGATTAAAGGACGAAGGAATTGAGCGGTAAAAAGCCAGGAGCAGCGATTTGGGGGTTTCGTGGTCGGAATTCGGGCATTTGGAGAGGAATCGCGCGACCGCGAGTATGGCATGGAGCTGAGACCTCGAAACCACAGGCGATCCGGTCAACAGAGACTCCGCCGGCGGGCAGCGGCTGCAAATCCATGCGATTTTCTGAGGAAATTGAGTCGGATTTTGCGCGATTAAATCACATAGCTCCACCAACGACTCCATAGCTCGATGCTCAGCTCCGATTCGTCAATATTTGTCCAAATTTCGAGTAAATTCTCATTGATCAACTAGTGCAGATGACGGTCAAGGATAATTATGACTAAATGCGGTGATTCTGAAAACCAAATACGAGAGATTAGGGTTTATGAGTACAGGCGGAAATATGAGGAGATCCAATGGCGGTGGTGAAACGGCGTCGTTAGGTCGCTGTCGCTCTTCGTCTTCTTCGCCCTGCGTGGTGCTGGAGTTGAGGGCACACACGTTACCGCGCCTCCGTGTTTTTCAGATCTTTTTGTTTTTGTCTGTGCTTCTTTTTTTTTTTTTTGCTTTCTAATTTTTGTTAGCTTTTCTATTTTTATTATTTCCTTTTTTGTGTTACGCAATTATCCCCAATAAAATAGGAAAAAGCAACGGAACGGTCAGAACTTAAAAGGTAATTCTTTTTTCTTTTCTTTTTCTGAATGTGGAGTTACATATGTGAAACTACAGTTCGACCCTATATTTTCGTTAATGCCTTATTTGCCCCAAAAATAACATTTTTAAAAACCCCTTTCTAACGGAGAAATTGCATCTTGCACCCTAGAATATGAATATTTTGGCATACAGCACCCTCAAAAATTAAAAAGAGACACCTTACACCCTAATTTGTTAAATTGCATCTCATCTATATATAATATAAAAAGAGGATCTATGCCCTCAATGATTGACATGTGGCAAATGATGATGTCATATCTCCAAATTGCTTAGTTGGAGTTCAATTGATGATGTGGATTCATCAATTGATTAGTTGGCATTTTTATTTAGGTATGTTTTTAAGTTCTTTCCTATTTCACATTTGCATAATCACTAAATAATTACCACATATATATTATATTTCATACATTCAATATTCTATAAATTTGAAAATATTATATTTTTTATAGTTTAATTTTCTGAAATATATTTTTTGAATTTAGTATGAATACTCTTTTTTTTATTATTATTATACCTATATATTTTCGAATTTAGTACTTTTTTAAATAATATTCAAAATATTTTAAATCTCACGTTTTAAATAAATTTAGAACACTCAAATTTTTATAATAATATATTTTCAAATTTAGTTTTCTTTTATAATAATATTAAAAAAATAAATTAAACAATATAATATTATTATTTTATAATTTTACATTAATTTTATTTTATTAATGCATTGTCATATTAATGGTACAATACTATGTCAATTAATGGAATGTAGTATCAAGTTTTCGTTTTTAGATGATCGTTCTTAGGAAATTATAAAGGAATAAATCATTAATACATTGTTAATTAATCATTTATATATTTTACATTTATAGAATTAAATGTCATTTACTTTAATTATGTCCATGTATGGTAAACATATCAATTTAAAATAAAAGAATTTTGACCATATCAATCTACATATATCAATATATATACCTAATTTTAGATTGATATGTCATACATATTTCCGATTTCGTAATTAAGATTTTTTTATTGACAATGCAATAACTTCTATTTTTATAATCCGTAATATATGCACACCATTGATTCTGAAATGGTAGTATTCATTATTAACCGGCTCTAATTATTTCAAATAAATTATAATCTTCTTTTCCCCTTTTTTAGAATATCAATCACTTGTGAAATATATTACATTATTTGTATAAAATTATTACATTAAATATATTTCCTTAATGACATAGTATTCACAAGTATAAATATACTCGCCTTCCTCCCCATTTTTCTATCCATCCATCTTTCGCCATTTTTTTCTATTAGAATTTATACATTTTTTTCCAAAAAGAAGTTCTTCATTACTTTTACGTCTGCCTTTTATATTTTATGTATTATTAATGTTTAAATGTCTTTCAAATCATTATTTCCATATAATGATTTGAATCTGTTTATTTATGAATATATATATGTTTTTTATACATTTTAATTTTAGTTTGATTTGGTTTTTGTAGATATATGTATAACACCCACAAGATGCAGCATTGTGAAGTTGTACATTGTGCGAGAAGCTACAAGCTACGATATTTTCGTAAATATTTATTTTCATGGTGATTATATTTTCATGGTGATTATTGATATTTTAACTGATCAAAAAGTTTTGTTTAAAGTTGCCATAAAGGATATATCTTGAAAATGCAGATCATTTTAATTTCTACGTATGATGTCGAGAAGCTACAAGCTACG